GTTTTTAAATTTGTTTGAGAAACTGATGATTTCCCCTTGTGTAAATAATTGTGATGCAGCTGTACAGAAATAAAGACAGATTATTTTATCCGCACTGCTTAAATATTTATTGTTACTTACCTTCACCTCATAAAAAAAAAAGAAAACAAATTTAAATCGACCGCTCAAAGACACGTCGGTTTTGGTGGGGGAAAGGGAAGTACGAGTCAAGTCAGCCGTGTGTTTTTTGTTTGTCGTCGATTCCATCAGCTGTCTGTCGTGGACGGTTCGTGGTGTGTCTTGCAACACTAAAGAAATGGGAGTGAAGCATAGTAGCTCTGTAAATTCAGAAACTACTGGCCCTACAATTCGCTCTGTTCCTTCTTGGGACTGCTAAATCTCTCTCGATTTATGTCATAACCAGCTAGGGAATGGCGTCCGTGAAAGTTGCCGTGAGGGTTCGGCCCTTTAATCAAAGGTAATGTCATGGCCGTGGTATACACAAAAGAAAAATTTTCTATCATTGCCCGTCTGGCAGTACTACTGCAATTTCGTCAATTATTTCCCAAACGATTTCACTCACCTGAAAAACGAGCTCGTCATGAATGGCAATGACAGCAAGCCTAACCTAACAAATCAATACATACTTAGCAAATTTTTGTTAGCTCATGTTCCTGGGTCTTTCAGAATTTGAATTTCTAAAAACCATTTTGAGTATAACTGTCATCCATTCAAATGATATTTCTTCATTGTTTGAATTGTTCAGTGTCCAACTCGGCATGTTCTAATGAGTACTACATGAAAATAAACGGAGTGAATCCCATCTTCTGTCAGTATTATTTCATCAACAGAATTTGCTTAAATATCTTGACTCTGTTTCCAGGGAAATTGGCATGCAAGCTAAGCTGATCATTGATATGAAAGGGAAGAAAACTCGTATAGTTAATTCCAAGGTTAGTATAATCATACTTGTTTAATTTTCTACCACATATTAGTTAAAATTTGCAATAAGGGAATGATAATTAACTTCCCTTGTGTTTAATTTTTTGTCAGGTGGCAGATGGGAAAGATGGAGACCTGGGACGAGAGCGTTATAAGGACTTCACTTTTGATTATTCCTATTGGTCTTATGACAGTGCTGATCCTCACTATGCATCGCAGGAACAGGTATGATCTCTAACTTGTCTTTTTATACACTTGTTCAATTCTCTAAACATGCCAACTAAAATTATTCCCTATGAACATGACTGACTTTTAGGTGTTTCGTGATCTTGGAATGGATGTAATAGATTGCGCATTTGAAGGATACAATGCTTGTGTGTTTGCTTATGGGCAAACTGGTAGTGGTAAAACATTCACAATGATGGGAGCTCCGGTGAGTTACTGTGGTGTTAAATATTATCTGAGAGTACTTTTGTCAAATATTTTTGTTTAATTTCTATCTACATTGTTTCTTTTTGAATGGTCACAGGAATGCATTGGTCTCATACCCAGAATATGTCAGACTCTATTCAGTAAACAGCAAGAAAATATTTCACACTCTGCTGCCAAATACACCTATCGCACTGAAGTCAGTTACCTTGAAATCTATAATGAACGCGTCAGAGACCTCCTTTCCCCATCAACTAATCACAGTTTAAGAGTGCGGGAACACCCACGGCAAGGCCCATATGTTCAAGATTTGTCTAAGCATCTTGTTACCAACTATGCTGAAATAGAGGTTATTGATAGTTATATGATTCCCATTATGCTGACACCTCATTAATATTTGGTTGACCTTTTTTTTTTTTATGACTTTTACTGTGTTATACTAAGCGCCTCTGCTCCTCTATTCTTAGGAATTAATGATTCGCGGCAATAATGTGAGAACCACTGCATCCACTAATATGAATGATGTGAGCAGCCGAAGTCATGCAATATTTACAATTCTTTTTACCCAAGCGTGCTTCTCGGGTGATTTCCCCACCGAAACAATATCCAAGGTTAGAATGTTGTTTTTACTATAGATAATTTATTCTACTCAACACAAATACATTAAAAATCATATCTCATGTTCACAGGTCCATTTGGTTGATTTAGCTGGCAGTGAGCGAGCTGATGCCACAGGGGCAACAGGGAAACGACTCCAAGAAGGAGCTCACATCAACAAGTCTCTTGTGACTTTAGGTTCAGTGATATCTGCTCTAGCTGATGTATCTAGCCCGGCTTCAGATGGAAGCAGTGGAAGTGGCCGCAAAACAAGCTTCATTCCATACAGAGACTCTGTACTGACATGGCTTCTAAAAGATAGTTTAGGTGGCAATTCCAAAACAATTATGATTGCTGGTATGTCTCACATAATACTAGAAACAAATCTCACTTATTTTTGTCCCTTAAATTTAATTTGTTTGTAATTTTAGCTGTCTCTCCTGCCGACTGTAACTATGGTGAAACATTGAGTACACTTAGATATGCTAATCGTGCAAAGAATATTGTCAACAAACCCACTGTTAATGAGGATTCTAATGTACGCCTTATCCGAGAGCTTAGAGAAGAAATTGCACGTCTTCGTGCGCTTCGAGATTCAGAAATGGTAATTTGTTCAGTGACAATTTCTTGATTTTAAAAGTATCTTAGAAATATCTTAACTAAATCCAATTCTCTTGAAAAAATTGTTTTAGACTACATCTGGTGGGTCAGGGGGAGTCCTGGCTCAGTTACACCAAACTGAAGCACGAGCTCAGGCTTTAACCGAGGAATGGGCAGAAAAGTGGAGAGAAACTGCTCAAATCTTGAGTGAACAGCAAGCACTGGGACTGAGAAAAGCTGGCAAAGGCGTGGTTCTTGATTCAGATCGGCCACATTTGGTTGGCATTGATGACGACTTGAGAAGCACTGGAGTCACACTATATCATTTGAAGGTATTTTCTGTTAATTAGTGAGACATTTATTCATTTAGTTTTACATTTAACTACTTGTATACATTTCTAACTGGCCATGAAATTCTGATGTGTCTATCAACAGGAAGGAAAAACACATATTGGTTCAGAGGAGGGAGCAGACTGTGATATAATGCTTAGCGGATTAAATGTTGAGAAAAATCATTGCACAATAGAGTTGTCCAATGGAGTTGCTACTCTTCTCCCTGCCCCTCAAGCTCAATGTTGGGTCAACACTGTACCTGTGGACAAACCAACTAAATTGTCGCAAGGTTTGTCTGTCCATAAAGTAAAATGTTACAAACTGTATGTTCATTTCCTTTCTTATAGAAAAAGATAACATGGTTTTGTCATATTATCAGGTTGCATAATTTTACTTGGACGAACGAACATGTTCCGCTATAATGACCCCGTTGAGGCAGCAAAATTAAGGAAGGAGGGCTCACGCTCTCATTTAAATTTATCTCGCTTGTCCCTCTTGAGCTGGTCAACTCCAGACTTGAATGCGTCGTTGGAAAACCTTCACATAAAGTGAGTATAAGTTCTTATTTTACATGATGTCTCTGCAATTATTCAAACCTTTGAACTCCTAATTCTATGTTTTAGTGAGGACGGTGATCTAAATGAATCTGGAACATTTAAAGGGAGAAGATCCTCACTACTCTTTAGAGATAAAGAAGAAACTAAGGTAATTCTGATTTCATGCAACTGTTTGAACTTCATTGTTTTGTTTTTTTAAATTGACTGGGAAACTTCTCATTTTTCAGTCCCAGAGGGATCAGTATGTAAAACAGCAAGCTTTAGAAGAAGCACAACAAGCTCTTGACGAGGTACGTCAGCCTTTAGATGTATGTCTTTGTCACTTTTTGACCATATGTCATCAATAGCAATAACAAATATTTTACAGGAAAGAGAACGTCTGGAGCAGAGTTATTTAGCTCAAAGCCGACGTTTGGCTGAAGATTGGCAAAGATTAGAACAGCAACAGCAAGAAAGTCGTGCTTCCTTGGTTCAGAGGGAGACTGAACTACAACAGCTGCGTGAGGCCTTAGAATGGGAGCGGACCCAGCAAGCCTCCAGGGTAAACTTTTCCCTTTTCTGTAATTTTTGTTCCTGAACACATTTTTATTTTTTAATGTAATTATGATTTGTTTGATTAGTAGAGCATTTATTTTTACGAACTTTTCTTTTATCTACTGTAGTCTTTTTTATAAACTGCTCACCTATTGTTTTGTGCAAGTCAGTAGATGTTATCTTATTTTATTTTTGTACCATGTATTTGCACAAGCATTTGGCACATTCCAAAACTGAAGTGGCATGACTATCATCAAGTGCTTTTCATCCTATTTTGCATGCTAGTTTGTTTATTATTTGCGTTATATTTTACATTTAGGTTGAAGCTGATAATGTGGAAGTTGCACGTCTCCAAAGTGAACTGGAAAGGAAGGGGGAAGAACTAAACAAGCTGAAAGCGAAGGTATTGCCTTGTTATAAAGAGTATCATGAAAAATTATCTTTTTAACTTTACCCATCAGATGCATTTCTCTGCTTTAGAGGAAAGAAGTTCAAATTATCTCAAACAACAAGTGCAGTGTTGGCTTGTATTTAAACTTGGCTCACAATATTGAAGAGAAAGTCAATGTCAAAAACAATTCAAAATATTGTATATTTGCAGATGAGCTCATGGTCGGGAGATGTCACGCCCACAACAGACAGTTCCAATCAGACATCTCCTCCTCCATTGTCATCACCTTCAGCTATAGATTCAGAGAGTATTGATTCTTGGGCTAGCACTGCTCCTGGTTCTGCTGTTGAAGTGGGAGACAATGATGCTATGAAGTTATTAATTGAACAGCATGTGAGTCCACAGCTGTCAAATATGTGGATGAAGAAAGATCTGATCTGATATCCAATCTTAATGTTTATCATTTAAATTTCTAGAAACGCCATATTATGATGCTAGATGCTGAATTTCAAAAGAAAGTGGCAGCTCTTGCTGAGGGTCGTGCTCGCGCCGAGCGACTTGAGTCTGACATCAATATTGTTCAAAATGCAGAACCAACTACTTTACCAGTGGAAGAGCTGAAACGCATGATCAGTGAACGAACTCAAGAAGAGCTACAACAAATTTTGGAGCGCAAAAAGTCGTAAGTAAAGAGCCTCTTATCCATCATTCTGTTTTATACTTTGTAATCAACCTATTATTGAATTCTTAACAGTTTCAAGCTGGATCTTAAAGAGAGGTTGGCTCCAAGTAATTCAGTTCCAGTTGCATCTTCATCTCAGCAAAGTACTCTGGAAGAAAATGCATCATCTGCTAAAAGATTTTCTGATCATGCTACATATGAAACTCCAATGGTCACGGCAACAGAATTTCTGGAAACTCCCTACTTGCCAGCGCTGAGTGAAGTTGTGGATGATGCATCCTTTCATACCGCATGTGCATCCCCTTCTAATCCTTGCACTAGCTTTAGTAGTGCAATTCAAGATAGTGGTACAGTTGATACTGGTGTCCTCAGTGACAGTGGAGTGGAGTTGGACACTAGGAGCAGTCTAGCAAGGGACCCACTCCTTCACAGTTGGGTGAGTTCCTTTTGATCGAATGCAACTGCATGCCTTCAATAGCAACATATTGTAAATCTAAACTCCCTTTTCTCCTTAAAGCTACAGGCGAGCTCTAACAATGTTGTAGCGAGAGCCTTACCTCAATGTGATGATAGTGATGATGTATCAAGTACTGAGGACTGTCTGTCTAATAAGCCCACCACTGCTCGTGGAGAAGGAAGCTCCAGCAGAGTTCGTCTCCATCGACCTCCTCGTCACATTAAGGCAGGTTTTTATTAAAATTGAGACCTTGTAAAGAATTAATTTTTGTTGAGCGTTCATTTTCATCTATCTATTACTTTCTCTTACAGCATGGAATTCTTAGTCTACGCCGTGGTGATTCTGAGCTAAATGTCAGAGATGCAATGAGAGCTATGCAGACTCTGTATCAGCGTGTAAACAATCAAAAAACTCTAGTAATCCAAAGTCTTGAGGATGACTGTGGGAAACAGGAGCTCAATGAGCGAATTGCTGTAAGTTCATGTATATTGTTGGTTTATTTTCATTTTCTATACTCAGAAGAGTTTTGGTACTCGGCTTCATTTTTTTTTTCTAAATTGTAGGTTTTGCAAGAGTTGCAAAAGCAGTATCTTTGTCTTGAATTGGCACTAGAGCAGCACACTGGCAAGGAAAACCGATCATCACTGACTAATCTGTCGACCCTTCCAACTCTTGGTTCTATTGAGGATTCTGACGACATGTCTACCTCAGCTGATGATATGTATGACTAACAAATCATTACTTTTAAGAATGACAATTTTTATTCTAATGAAGTTTTCTTTCATTGATGGATATTTTTTTGTATCTTGTGCCAGGATGTCTGAGCCGAGTTACATCAACGGGCATAGGGAGTCTCTTGACCACTCTGGATTAAGGTAGAAACTCTTATTCCAAAACCTGTTTAAGCTAAAACGAGAATTTTCATAAATTATCTAATCTATGGTTTTTTGTTTCAACTTTTAGTAATACTCTGTCTCCACTGAACCCTGCAACCCTGAATGTAAGAGTTTCCTTTACATTCTTGTTTTTGTCTTTGGGCTTCAATGTATAAATTCTGATACCTTTTAATCTTTTTAGAGCCAGGACGACAACTTTAGCACAGTGAGCTTAGCACACTCGAGAACTTCTTTGCACTCATGTGGTAAACAGTTGAAGCAATTTTGCTGTACTTTTTGTATTTCCTGCTCAGCTATTTAGTTGAAACCATTCACTGTTTCCAGATGACGGAGAAATTATTCATATTCCAAGCTTTCTGATCCGTGGAGCTGGTTCATCTACACATTATGAGTATGAGGTCCGTGTAAACGCTGGTGGTGAGCGTTGGGTGCTGCTTCGCCGTTACAGACGATTTCGTGAACTCCATTTGCAGATGCGTGAAAAGTATGGATCCTTGGTAAGTAGATATATATACTGACTTCTAAAAATATAACTGGTCAAAAATATTTTGCATTGTTTATCAAAAGCTTTTGTTTAAGGTGTCATCTTTGGATTTCCCCCCTCGTCGTCTATTTTCTAAACGGTCTGAAGTGGTTGCTAGCAAGAGACGTGCTCAGCTTGAGAATTATCTTCGAGCACTTATTAGAGTTTGTTCCACTGTAGCAGGCTGTCCCCTTCACCAGGCACGCGACAATCTAACCCGACTAGCTTTGATAGAGTTTTCCCCCTTCTTTCGCAAAGGTGTATTTGAGTCAGGGAAATATGGAACCAGTTAATTAGTATTATAAATTCCCCCTGTTTATTTGTGTCTCCTAATTTTTATTTTACTATCTAATCTAATCGATCTATACTATATTCATGGGTCGATTTTTGAGCAGATACGTACTTGTTGTACAATTTTGCATTCTAAGCAGCTCAAAAGGCATACTGAGTGCAAAGTAAACAACTATCCTTAAAAATATGTATACCTGGCAAAATTACTGCCAGGGGAATTCTCTGTGATTACCCATCCATCTTTTAGTATTCTTTAGAATATGACTTCTTGGTTATATAAACACAGATAGGTCTGTTACAGAAACAGTAGCATACCTTTATATTTTTAGACTTATACACGTTTCCTCGCTATGAAGTGAGCTGGTATATGAAGAACCATATTGCTAATGCTGTACTTTAATTTTATCTGTTAAATTTATTGTTAAGAAAAACCTAAGAATAGCAACATACCTAGACACAGTAATGATAATCAATTCAACTCAAAAACTACTGGTAAGTCTGAAGTGTGGTACTTACCGAATTTAGATGGCTGTGTTAATGATTTTAGGGCACTTAAAGCAGCACCTGTCTCTCTAAATATGCTTTACATTGATATATGCATTATAGATCGTTTGATATTATCAGCCCAGTGCCCAGTTTCATATCTTTATTCAGTCAAAGTCAATTAAAATGCCGTCTCAATGTTTGGCACTGTACATGGGAAGCTCTCCAGTTGATTTTCTTTTTACATAGAAATTTCTTTTGATTAGATCAAAAAATATTTTATAATTTAAGCACTGCACTTTCAAAAGTTTAATCTTAATACTAGTAGTATTAAAAAATATATGAAAGGATGACAATAATGTGCGAGTGAGACAGTGTGTTGATGGTATGGGCTTGAAAGACTTCACATTTATGTCAATGTTTTGACTGATGACAAATTTATTGTCTTATTTTATCTGTTTTTGTGAGAACAAAAATTCTATGATGAGTAATCTAGGAATGACTCACTCCTTTGGGGTCTGTGGTTATTTTTCTATTGGTATTGAGAAAAGAAAATGAATGCAGGTTGGGGAGTGCATTTTGGAACTTCATGTGTAGGTAATGCACAGGCACAAACTAGGTAGCCTGTTTTGTTTTTCATGTTGTTTTCTTATTCATACTTTTTCTTTTTTTTTCATATTTTATGAGAGCAAGGTACTAACAGCTCAGACAAGAGTACTTGCCTTATTACAATTTAAAGGTTTTAAATAATTCTATTTGCTGTTGGAGACAGCTTTGTTTCTATTGGCATTATTACATGCACATATGTATGTTATTATTGTTACTGCTGCTGTTTGTAGCCTGTATTTAAAATCTTTAGAGACTGTTACTCTTGGTAGAAATTTAAATCACTTTGTTCTGTTTTTTGTGCTCTGTTGTAAATTTAGATATTGTCCTTGCCAAGATTGGTTGTGTGATTTATCAATGCATACAATGTTTTATGTCCATATGTAATCTGTTGGTTTTGCTGTATAGCAAAGCATACCATGACATTCAAAGATGATGGATCTGGCTGAATGCTGCACATTTTATTGCATATTTTACTGGATTATTTTTGATCATCAGTATGTTGAATAGTGAAAGTGTGAGGCTGTGGGCAGATGGAGGAAATAATCTAAAGTTAGTGCACTTGCTTCATTATTTTGGACTGTAGAAGAGAAATTTTTGAAATGGTTTTCCGAATGGTCCAAATATTAGATTTAATGTTGGATTAGTTTGAATCAGCACAACTTGGTGTCAATGAACACTACTCCCAGTTAACTTAGATGTGTACTACGCTCTCATTCTGATGTCCAGTCCAGTTCAGCAAACTCAGATGTCCTGTGATGCCAACATTAATACCATCCAGGTTTTATATTTACATGTTACCAGAAAAACTATGATGATGTTATTACGTGGTTAGTGAAATATTTACTAGAAATTTGTAAAGAACATATTTCACTGACAAGGCGTCATTGAAACTTTTTTCTTTATTAATTAAAATATAAACAGTCAACCACACGCTTAATATGTGACTGTTTTTTCTGTACAAGCAAACTTCAATCCATCTAATCATGGTAGGGAACAAACCAAACTTTGTCATACAAAAGTCCATCTCTGCAAAATGTATTAATGAATTTGGGAAAGAAAGATCCTTCCATCCCTAAACAGCTGATTAAGACTTAATTATGTAGAGTAGGCAAGACTGCCTACTCATCTTACAACTATGATATCAACAATCATAGAACTAAAAAAGAAATTCATGTCGCAAGGATAGATTAAAATGAGGCACTATGATATGGCTGTACTATTTACAAAATGGGAGAAATATTTACAGTTTCAACAAAATGTACTCAATGACCTAAAGTGTTAGTGCGACAGGCTGTTTGACTCACGCATACAGAGATGTCCCCTGATACAGAATGGACATCCATCAAGCTGTCATCAAAAGATTCTGCCATAGACTGCATTTTCGCTGCTAGCTGAGGGCTGCCACAGTTAACCCGTAAGCGGCCTGGGAAAGAAACATGTTAGCAGAGCAATTGAAAAGTATTCAACACAACATGGCAAAATGGGATCTACTAGAAGTCAAAACCTATCTCTACCTTACCTTCATGTTTGATAACTTGTGGGGATGGTGCATCAAGAAGCTTATTAATTTTCTCACCTACTCTTGGAGTTGAGAATTTGGATGGTTCATCCTGATTTAAAAGTAAAGATTAGTAAATAGATTAAACAAGAGTTGTTCCGAGGGCAATATTAAAAAGGTCTTACCAATTTAATACAAGGAGCTTTTGTATATTTTACCGCTGGTAGACCACACCCAACATTGGGGTTTACATTTTCAGTATTAGCAGCCTGCATTAAAAAAGGTGATGTACAAAAACAGTTAAAATTGTATATTATGGGTAGAGAAGAAAGCTAAAAATTCCATTTACCTGAGAGCTGCCGCTACCAGGCCGTGGGATGGATGACTTCATTTCTCCAGCACGCCAGAGAGCTTTGGCGTGGTTTTCTCTTTCATATGGTGCTCGATCCAACGTCTTTGCCTTGACATTGGTTACTAGCACTGGTGAGGGAGAGTTGTGAATGTAAGCACCAACAGGACTTTGGATTTTTTCCAAAATCTAGAAAATAGGAGGTAAGATTCAGAAATTTGCCTGGATAAGGAAAATCTTGGCCATAGAATGATAAACGAACCTTGTTGCTAGACTTTGCAGTCTGGTGAATGCCAGTTGTCTTAGGTAGGCGACTAACTGGAAGGGCTGGTGCAATAGGCTTCTTGAATGCGCCTATTTTAGTCTCAGATGAAGGAGTTACTGGCCGTGATTGGGGCCTTGAGGAGGTCTTAGGCTCTGAATATGTCAGGGGCCGCATCAAATTTTTAGTCTTCTGAGGAGATGGCGTGAGCAATGGCCTGACAGAGGCTGCAGAGGCAACACGAGGCAGTTTAGATGACAATTTTAGAGTATTTTGTTTGGAAGGTACACAGCGCATATCTTTGGACTTTTGAGGCGTGCTTTTTAGCACCTGTTTTTGAAGAGGAGAAAGAGGTTTTGGTTCTTTTACTCTTGAAAATTGGTTTTGTTTTGAAGTGAACTCAACAGCATCAAGGTATTCCATTGAGCTTCCACTAGAATTCTTACTCGCTTTAACATGAATTGGCGATTGGGGAAGTTTATCCCCAGAGTCAGGCAGATGATTTTCTTCAATGCCCTTACTAGTTTCTTTTTTATTTCCCTTGCGACCAAGAATGTAATCCACACCATATTTCATCATCATTTCATATTCTTCAATGGTATCATTCAATTCACCAAAATTTGATGAAGCCCCTGAATCATTGTGAGATAACTCTCTTATGCCTTCACTGATAGACGATGCAGCACCAGAATTATCAAGAACGGCCTCTCCCTCATCAGCAGAGGATGAAGGTTCCAAATCATAATGTTCACGCTCTTTCAAAAATTCATTGTGCAAATCACTTTCAGAGAGGTGCGTGCTTAGGGGGTAGACACCTGAAATTTGCAAACTTTCTCTCGGATATTTACTAGAATCATTCAAAGATTCAGTTCCAATCAAATTGTTGATATTTACTTGTTCCTGATGTGACAAATTCTTTGAATCTTGAGAACTTGAACAGCTTTGGCTACTCAAGCCAGAGGTCTGAATCTGTTGATTCAAAACATTTGACTCACTCTTGGCAGATACTTGACTTCCACTTGATAGATTTATCTGTTCCCTCTTTCCATCACAAGAGTATAATTGTTCCGAGCCAAGTGATGAGACAGAGCTGAGGTCATTAAAGGATGAAAGAGTGGTTTGAGATGTTTCCGAGGTTGCCACATCAAAATTCCGTGTTGAGAAGCCAACAGTGTTATTTCTTCCGGTGTAAAAAGTATTGTTATCTATTTCAGAGTAATGACCATTGCTTTCTCTTCCAGTTGTATACATGATGGAGTTAGAAAGTTGCTGATCTTCAAGATCACCAGCATCAATACCAAATACTTTAAAACGGTCTTCTAAAGACTGGGTAGTACTTGTTGATTCTTCATGTTCATGATATGCTGTACTGCCAGTTTCCTTAATCTGAGAAGCATGATACAATGCAGCTTCAGAAAGAATGGACAAAAATCCCCCATCTTTGTCTGCAATAACTTCAGGCACATCAATATCACTGTTTTCAAGTTCAATAACTTGACAATTGTTTGAGCTATTTACAACAGACACAATGGCACCTTGACATTCATTTGATTCATCTTCCAATGAATAAGTATTATTACCCACATAGGATATGGACTCCTCAACACCAGGAATACTTGCATTTGCAGGAGCTACATTTTCAGTTATGTTTTCTAAGCTGTCCGAGAGCACTTCAGTTGAATTGAATTGTTTAGACTCATTACTGAAATTAGTTTTTTCCTTGACATAAGTTTCGTTTTGGAGATTTGCTTCATCGTGCAAAAGCAAAACGTCTTTCATGAGTGAAGAATCAGATGATTTCAGTTCAGAACTGGACAAGCCATCTGAAAAGCCAGAGACCAATTTTCCAACATTGAACTGCTTTGTAGAGCCATCTTCCAGACTGTCATCAGATATGTTTGAGTGGAAAGAAAGGGCAGTCCGAGGGGATTTAGAGTTAGATACAGGGCGCTCATATTTAGGTGGGCATTTCTTCACAGTGCTTGGGGCCTGATCAGAATCCAAACTGTCAACAGAAAACTTTGAGTACAAATGGCCTTCATTTAAAGATGCTTGTGACCCGGAACTGTTGCCTGAAAGGGCAGACCAGTAGTCTCCTTTAGAACTATCCTCTGGTCTTTCAGATGATGTGACAAAACTTTGGCTCTCTAAGGAATCAACAGAGAGAGAGAGCTTGGGCTGCTCAACACTACCGGAACCAACAACTTCAAGACCAGTTTCTAAAGGGTAGAACGTATGCATTAATTTTCAGTAAGAGTAGCATTTTAAAAATAGAAATTAAAAAAATAATACCTGTTATTCCTCCTGATTGAACAGAAAAATTTTCTGATGGTAAATCACTACGGTAAACAAGAAAGAAAATATAATTAATTCTACCAAATCAATGACAAAATAAAAATAGCCTGTTTAGAAAGTGACATTCTGGACAATACCTTGGTTTCCAGTCAAATGATGGAAAATAAAATTGAGTCCTCCTTTTCAACTGAGAAGCTTTTTGAAGCTCTTTTGAGGTTACGGGTCCAAAAAAAACTTCTTCATCACTGTCACACACAGGAGTGTCAATCATTGGAGATTTAGGACCGAATGGTGAAGGTTCCATCGTCTAGTGCTGAGAATAGAAAACAACGATTTAGTACTTCAGAGAACACAAATACGATGCAAGTTCTATAGTCTCATGTTTGTTTTGTACAGAGTGGTAGCTCTAATATGATCAACTGCGACAAATAAACAGAAACACGAAAAACCAATAACGCAACGATGCAAAAAGTAGAATCATTACAAATCACAAAACATGCACAAGTATCACAGGTTTTGGACTTGTTTAATACCTTCTTTGTAAACAATGGTTGTCCTCTGTTGTCTTCTTTTGAAAGTAACGAACTCCCGGTTAGAGCCACACACCACACACTTTTAACGAGTTTGCCAAAAGAAATGAAGAAATACAGGGCAAACAGAGCGACGCCGACAGATCATAACCCGAACTACGATCGTGTTTTCGAACAACGGTTGACTTAAGTCATGAAATATTGTTTTCAGAACTTTTTGCTGTGATCTCTGTAATAGGACACCGGTAACAACCACATTTCAAATCTGGCCCCTCGCGCCTCTGGCAGGTTTGAACTCGTCTGTCAAAGCTTCCTCGATACGCCTGCGCTCCTGGAGACCGTGACTTAGACTAAAACTCACTTTTTCGTGGCTTGTTTTGAAATTGATTGCTCTGAAGCTGATAAACGAAACTTTATCTGACGCCTATGTCGATCTAGCTACGAAATTTGCATACGAAAGAAAAGAGACAGGAGAGAACCCCACGAAGTCACGAAGTGCATAGTGCGATGCTGTACACTACCTCTGCGCACTCTAGTGGGCGAGCCTCTACGGCGCGTAAAGTCTCAACTTGTTACTTGTGCTTGTTTGTTTACTTGCATTTTGCTTGTTTTCTAACTAATGAGCTTGACTGTGATCAAATTAGAAAAGGGACTTAGAAATGAATAATCGTTTCGGAGTAAATAGGGGCCATAGCTGGGGCAGGGGCCAACCGAGGCCCTACCCTAGAGATCAGAAAAAAGAATCTTTTGCTGAGGTGAGGAGTGAGACGGCCAAGCTGGACGAAGTCCTGAGGCGACTTCAGAGGGAGGTCGAAGAATTGGAAACTTTAAAGGAAAAGCGACTTCTGCAGGATAAGAAAAGTGAGGATCTCTTTCTACGTTGGGGAGGTACGTAGTACTCAAATCTGTTCTTTCATTCGTTCTTTGCCACCTGTCGTTTTACGATTTGAAAGTAAATAATTGTCATTCAACAGGTATTGCTTTACATGATGCCACTGAGAACAAGTGTCGAGTTACCTTTACTCCTCCTGAGCCTGGTGAAACATACCAGATTGGATTTGAAAAGGTTGACCAATGTAAGTTGATTATATTTTGATTATATTAACTGTTAATTACAGTAGGTTTTCATTTCCACTGACAAAAGTGTTATTTTTTTCTTCACAGGTTGGGGTGTATCATTCTACAATTTACCCTTCTGCATGTCATTTATTCGAGATAGAGTTGCAGCACTTAATATTGATTCCATTGAGAAATTATGCTTATTTGTACGGACTTTGCAATCAGAGATAGATGTGGTTAACCGAAGAGCAAAGCAGTTTTCAGAAGCAATGGTAGATTCGTTGAAATGTCTTGAACAGTAATACATGTCAAGTCCATACCACCTTATTATTAATTCAATTTTTCCTACAGATCCTGTCATCTCCTGCTCTCCGTATTTTTCCAGCCGTTGCCACAACTGCTGCAATGTTGGAAATAATGGTGAATGATAGTGTAGGGTCAGATCTATCAAGGATTTCTGTTCACCTAACTTATCTTCCTGATAAGTTTCTTCCTGAAGAACCTTTTTTTGTATTCAGAGGTTTGCTTCTGCTCCAAGCTTTTATCATCTGTTAAAGTAATATGCTTTATATATGTTGAAGTGGTAATAAATTACTTGTCTCCATGGTATTGTAGGTGGAGATAAAACAGCTGAACAAGAGTTCAAGAAGCAGCTCGCTTGTCTCCAGTACATGCCTTTAAAAGAGGCTCTTGAATGTGCTTTCTCCCTAGATGAAGTGGAAGCAGAACAAAAGGAGCAAGAAGAAGAAAAACAAGTGTCCAAGGATGAAATAAAGCCAGAGGTTTGTTGTATATCCAGTCCACCCTTTTTCAATCAAATAAAATCACAAGTGTGTATGTTTGTTCCCTACCTTGATTAGATGGATTGAAGTTTGCTTGTACAGAAAAAACAGTCACATATTAAGCGTGTGGTTGATTGTAGAAAATTACTGAAGCTGTTTTCTTCACTCTGCCCTGTAGGATTCGGGAAAGCCAGGCTCACTTGATGCTCCCAAGGTGGTTGCCCGGCAAAGTACGAAGAAAAAATTTGGACCCAAAAGCAAGACATCCAGATCTTAAGCAATGTAATTTCCATGACTGATTCTCATTGTGCCAAATCCTGCCAAATCCAAAGTTTATTTTTTTTGTTAATTAAGTTTATTTTTTATGATCATGTTCAGTGTTAGTGTGTGAAAACTGAGTGCATAATTATAAGGAAATATCATATGACATCAGGCATTTTTATTTTATTTTTTATTGTACTTACAAAACCCATTTGGTATTAACACTACTAGTTTATGTAGAGATCACTATGTAGAAAATGTTCTGCCACAGAAAACAGCAGATAAAAGGTAGAAAAACTAAATTCATCAAACAACTAGTACAAAGGTACACATTCACACAATATACTGGAAGCAAAAGAAAACCACAAATCTACTTACCCTGTGACAAAAGTCGAATTGACCATCTAAATTCTGAAGAAGGCAAACAAAATCCTTGAACAAGTTACAGACATGATGGCCATAGCTCTTGAAAGCACTAGGGAAAATCAGGAAAAATAGAAAAAAGAATACGGGAAATTTGTCCTGATGTGGCCCTAAACTGCGCTCTATGCGCTGTTATGATTAATTAATTATGTCCCGGCAGGGTACACGGGCGTCGCAATGCCACAAACTGTTGGGGAAAAGTGTCTGGAAATCGGCGAAAATACAAATAAAATGTTTGCATTTGCATGCACAAATATTCAGGGGCAAAACAGTCACTTATGTGGACTACTGGTACAATAATCAAATGAACTAAAACAAAAAAAGTGAGTATAACTAATATCACAGATAACATATTGCTACAAACATTATAGAAGTTGAGTCAGATAGTACATATTTTCATTTTAATATCTGGATGGATCAAGAGAGAAAGTCAGGAAGCTCTTTAGAGCTTAGTTCCAGCCTAGATCTAGACAACCTTAGATGTAAAAAAACAATCATTTTATACAAGGGGGAAAATTTTAAACTACAGCACATACATACGTAATTGCTTTCAACAAAATATCCATTTATAGTTTTGTTTAGAAGGGTTCAAAAAGAAAATAATGATAAAAAGAGAAGAAACAAAAGTATGAGTCCTCATGGTAGTTTTGACAGGTAATTTCAAAACACAAGAAGAATGGAGGATTAAGTGGAACTTGACTAAAATCTATGAAGAACGTATAAACTACCTAGATTTAGTTCAGCCTTGTCAATGAGATATTTGAGATCAGGAAACTGACCACTAAACAACCTAATGGCTATGCTTCAAAAACTTAGTTCTTTTTTTGAAAAATACCTTACTTTTAGTATGATTGTATTGATAATTTTTATCAACAGTTTTAACTATAAGAAGGCAGTACTTTTCCTTGGTTTGGAGAAAATCAGGCAGGTGCAAGTTCATGTTGCAAAGAAATTCCAAAAACATCAGAACGCACCTAGAACATTTTTCCTTTTTTATAGTGTGCATGAATGCTAACCATTCAAAGAGTAAGTCTACAGGACTGGTTACTACAAATCTTAATTAGTATTATGATAAATTAAATGAGAAACTTTCTTAAACTAATGGTCCTACTCTCAGTCTGAAAATATTGAACACTTAAAATGGTAAAAGTTAAATATCCATCAAATTCCTCCACACTGCACTTGGGTACAACTCTCCCCTACAAACAAGCTGCAAATCCCAATTTTTTGCCATTATTTCATTGGTTAGTTCCACTAACTGACGTTTCTGAATTTTCCACAAATTAAGATCACCTAACAACTTCAATTTGGGACAAGCTTGAGCAAGAAGGTGAACACTAAGGAAAGATAAATTACAACCGGAGTTGGAAGTTATGATGAGACGCGTGAGCTGAAGTGGCGATACTCTCTCTGACAAAGCAGATGATATTATTTCATCATCAAGATTTGGTTCATCATGAGGCATTTTTTCCATAACAACCTATTTACCAAAAGAATTTTGCTTGAGACCTCAATAACTGACTCTGGCACACACACTATTTAAAAAGTAGATTAATTACTTACCTCAAAAACGTGAAGTTTCTGAGTATGCACAAGCAGGGAGCGGAACGTTTCCTGGTTCAAGATTCTCACACGACATGTATGAAGTGAAGGCAACAGACTGTAGGCTTTCTGCCTGCTTCCAGAGCCCCATGAGCCAACAAGTTTGGCACTTACCTCTTCAAGTCCAGGACACAATTCCCCAATCATAGCCAAATCAACTGCATGTACCTAACATTAAGAATGTATGATAAGTGAAAATATTGAAGTAATCAGTAAAAAATATTGATTGTATTAGATAACAAATTTGGTATTACCTGATCAACTAAAACAAGCTTCTTTAACATTTGGGGAATTACTCTGAGAAATCTTTCAAGAGATTGAGAATAGTCCATAAAATCAAAATCAATTGTGAGAGAGTAAAGTTTAGGAAAAGTGTTTAATGTTGGGAGCCATGTAGCACGTGTGTAGAGGCTAGATAGATTTGGTAGGGCTCTGCTTAGAACTGAGGCTTTTAAGGATGGCATGTGAGTATCCCACAGTTCACTTAAAGAAAGACGTAGAGTATTCTGGGATTGTCGTAAAAGTGATATAATGGCCTCTCCAACACTCCTGAAATTAAATAGGTTTCACATTTAATAATAAATTCATTTCTCAGCCAAGTTTGCCATCTTTGAAAAGTTACATTACCTATAGTAGATGAATCCACCAAGAGAGCGCAGGTTGGGAACAAACAATAGTAGCAAAGCTACTCCTATTTCAGATGTATTAGTATCTTGGATTCTGACTTCTTGTAGACTTGAACAGCAATTATTAACTCCAACATGTGGTCCACCAAAAGCGTGAGAAATAGCCCACATAGAGGTGAAAATTGCCTCAACCGTGTCAAACGCTTCAGAATCAAAGTAACATACATCTGGATTCTGAAAACCCAACAAAATGGAAAAAGGATAATTATATGATCTAGAACCTAGATTAGATTCACCACATGAGTGTTAAGTACCTTAAGTAAGAGCTGATGCAAGCCCCTGTCATCAACAAGCCAGGAGCTGCTGACATCTAGGTGACTAAGATGAACAGCATGTTGTCCAAGTAAGTGCAGTGTCTCATTGTCACACACACTGTGCAAGACTAAAGTGTGCAAAGATGATGCCAAACCATGACGTAATACATGATGAAGAGCAAAGTTACCAGGGGATATACTTTCAACTCCCCCGCGGTACGAATTCGTTAAGCGAACCTATAAAAATGTTTGATTATGTGAAGCTTTGTAACTCTGTGAAATGAACTAAAGTAACAGAAAATTCATCACATGTGAAATTTTCTGTAAAACTTAGCTTCTTCCTACCTTGACAACAAGCTCTTGTAAACCAATACCATTGTATTGTTCTAGATAATCAAACAGGCGAGCACATTGGTCTGCTTGTAGGGTAGCACTGTCATCTCCCCTTGATAAGTCCAAGTGCTTAATGGATTTATCCAACAAAACTTTGAGGAGGTCTAAGAGTGTGAAAGCATCACTAGAACTGTTTACAGAAAGCAAAAGAATCATTATTAGACCAAAAACTAATAGAAAAGAGAACCAAATTAGCTTATTAAGAAAATACCTGCACCGCTTTGTAGCTATATCAATAAGATTCTGACGGATACCACGATGAAACAAGGACTGCAACAGTTCTCGAAGAGCCTCCAAAGAATCAGTATTCTGACGAACGAGGCATCGCAAGTGATTGAAAATCACAAGCAAGCATGTTTTGTAAAGAGATTGCACTGGCAGTAGAGGCGGCATGATCTTCATGAACGGGGAAATGACCCACTCCAGGAAAGCAGAACAGATCCCATTGAAACTGAACAGAAAAATTGCTCTGAAATAAAAATCGCAAATGAGAATGGCTAGGCGCCTTTATCCTACAGAAAGGGATCATGTCCCCATACTACAATGAGCACTGACATGAGTCCTTGTTTGGATTAGATGTGTGGTTATATTGCAAAACAATGATGTCTTGCACCAAATACTTCACACATAAATATCAAGTAGGCAAATTATGAAAGAAATGTTTGTAGGGTAATTAGGTACTTAAAGCAGAGTGAATCCCTGGTATAGTAAGAATCAAAATTGAAAATGAATGTGAAATATTTCATTCTATTCCAAGTACAAGTGCTAATTTCGGAAATCATCCATTCTTGGACACATTGAATAGTTATTACCTTCTAACGGCGCGTACGTTTTCACACAATTCCCTTTCCCTTTCTCCCGATCTTGGCCGGCTGGCAAGTTTCCATCCAGACAAAGGGGGGTTGTCGGTTGCTGCTCATAATGCCATATCTGCAGGCTTGGTTAGTGTTCGGAGTCGGCCTCTCGTGAACTCTGAGGCCTAAGATGCACTATGGGGCTCTGAAGCGATCGTTTCCCAGCCCATACCATTAAGAAATGCCTAAATAAATGACACTTAAGCATTCGTGCACTCCACCCAACTGTGTGTGTGTACGCTCTGTCGCATCCGGTGCGGTCCGGCGGTCGGTGATCCCTCGATCCGGTCAATCAGCTGATGCGAATGTTTTGACAGGACTGACGGTCGCGCCTGCCTGGTCGGGGTGGTCAGACCATACGACCGAGCAGGCTGGTTTATCGGACTTTAGTCATGATTCGCACGACAATCCGCGTAAGGCTTAAATAAATAAGATAGAGAGCACTAATGAAATGTTGAGGAGAGGGGTAGGTAGTGTATGCGTGTTTTGTGCATGAGAAATTTGTGGGCCCACAATGGTCTCAGCGGGCCCGCGCGTGGAAATTCCCTCTCCGTTTACGGCAATGTTTACGTTGGTTTACTGTACACTTGCGACCATACGCAAGCTACAAAGATCACACTTACTTCTGATGAAACTTATTTTTTTCAGATAACGATTTAGACTGGAGAGTGTTCAAAAAAACAAAAAACCAAAAAAAACTTATTTCACATGTAGTACCTTTATTTTTAAAATATCCCCTTGTAGTGTGAATTATTGTTTAAATTTTAACAGGAGTTTTGTCTGTGCGTATAGCAGAAGCCCTCGTCATATTCGCTGTATTGAGGTGTTTACACTGGAAATGCTAAAATGATTTGTCTCGCCCTCTATCTCGCCTAAAATGAATGATTGAATTTCTTGTTGCCCAATAAGAGCGATGACTGTATGGGAAAATCACTCCATATGAGTGATGGTTTGGATTGGATCATCACTCCTTTAGGAGCAACAGACATTCAAATAAAGTAATCTTTCAAAATGTATACAAAATTGTAAAAGCATTGTGGAGCAGTAGTTGAAGCAGGAGTTGTGTGAAATAATGAAGAGAACGTAAAACCATTATTAAAGAGACATATAATATATTTGTCTATAACTTATCTGTCACAAACATTCATAGACCACAAACAAATTTCAGTGCGAGGATTCAAACTGAATTTCTTTACAAACTGGCAAAGAGGGAGAGCTTTCTTTAAAACATTAATAACAGCTCCCCATGCTTTTCCCAAAGATTTCTAACATGAAAACAACAAACAATAAATATGAACCTTCTGTACAAGTTTCTAACATTATCACAGACTATTTAAAAATAATATGTTACCTTTTAGAACATGAAGAAAGTCCTTATGATGTAATTTATAGGCTGTGCTACTTACAAAATGAAACATAACTTATTAACAGTTAATGGTGCAATGCAATAATAATCTCTGAAGTCTTTTCAAAAGAATGTGAAGCTTCAAGGTTAACATTTACAAAGAGGTCACTTTATCTGTCACACACAATGCAGATTTCATGAGTGGGATTTAAACAAATCAGAGAGAATTATGAATCAATAATTTTTAAATGTTCTAAGACTATATTTATCACTGGTGAAAAGTAAGATTGATAAAACTAACAGGACAACACTGGGTGGGCAATCAATATATACAGTGCCCATTTGAAGTAAAATGAAATGCATATTATAAGAAGATTTACATGTTCAACAAAACAATGTACGTGTTGAAACTGAGGAATTTTAAAATAGTGTGTCACAAAAAGAAAATAGATACTAGTAGCCCACAGATACAGTGAATATGATGCACATCCTTTATTCAACCATATGGCTTGGAATAGATTTTTTCTTATTACATCATCTTGTGAGAGAAACCTACATTAGGGTTGAATAAGGTATTCTAATTTATGGATTATTGGGCTAACTGCAAAGCCTCTATCTAGATAAAAAAAAAAATCACAAAATCAGGACACTATGTCAGCAAAGGAACGTAAATCCACCATAGTCAAAGATTAAAACTATATAAAAAAAAAAAACTTAAGTCAAGAAATTTCTGAGAGGCTCTAATGAATTAATTACTGTCTTTTATCAAATTCTCTAGGCAAAATGCCACAAAAAGGCATCACATTCAATGCTATGCCTTCTCTTTAAAGGATGTTGAGAGGAGTATGTTTTCAAATTAGTCAGTAACTAAAGTCTGTTTGATATTTTTGCACCAACCATGGCTAGTGACTTCGGTTTTGAAGGTAAGACAGTAATTCAAATTTACAGCTGTTCCCCATTTAACAAAGGACACTGGAGGTTGTTTGAGATTTTAGACCTCCAAAATGCACACTGGGTTATCAATCGACTAGTAACTCCATACTTTGTAGATTCTAGAGTAAGTCAAATTTAAAGTTGCCTCCCAAAGTAATCAACATAAAACAAAAAAATCATCCAGGCACCAGTACTTGCTACACGTGAAGCAGTTTCTTGAAACAACTTTTATAAAAGTACAGCTCAATAGTAGCTCTGAACAAGAGCTTCATCAGTCTTTACCATTGCTCCAGTCGCATTGGGGTTCGATCCAAATTTTTCTTTACAGATTTTAAAAACTAGTTGGCATTGGGATGCACACAAGACTGGGAAGTGAAATGCATTCATTAGAAATTCCCAACGCCAAATACAATTTAAAAAACAAAATAAAACCCATTAATACGCCCAGAATGCGACGAAAGAATAGCACATTTGTACAGCAAATACTGGCACGGCACTACCGGTGGAAGCCGAGGAAGTCCGTCAGGCGGTCATTCCAGTCTTGCAGCCACTGCGCCAGCGGGGTGGGAGGCGCGGCCTTTGTCGAGTTGCCCGTCTCCAGCGGCATGTACTCTTCCCCTCTTATGCAGAAGTAACTCTTGATCGGGCTGCGACACATCGGACACCTGTCCAACCTGGAGGCAGAAAAGTACAGACAATAATAAGTAAAACAATCAGAATAGAACGAGCGAGTGTCCCGCTTCGCCTAGTGTCCTGCTCACCTGTTGAAGCAGCCGGCGCACACGCAGGTGTGCCTGCAGGGGAGGAGGGCCCTGGACAGCGGGTAGAACTGGCAGACGACGCACAGCTGCTCCTCGCACAGGAGCGCCGCCCGCACCCCGCAGCCGTCGCCGTCGCCGGGCTGGCCGAGGCTGAGGCCGTGGGCGCGCTGCAGCCCACCAGCCAGGCCGTTGGGGCAGAAGGCCGTGTCCAGCGGGCTGGTCTCGTCGTCGTAGGACGTCATCGTGTTGCCCGTCGCCAGGTACAATTGCTGCAGACAAAACAGCCGTCATGTCAGTTCGGAGAAGGCGACCGCGCTCGAGCCCTCGGTGCGGCAGGAGCTCACGGGCGGCCCGCACCCTCACCTTGAGGCACGACAGCTGCCCGTTGGCCTGCTTAAGGTACTGCGCCAGGATGCTGGTGGGCAGCGTGCACACCGAGTCCTTGATGTGCACCACATTGACCAGGGCCACCGACTCGTCCGGGTGCAGCTCGCGGTGGTGGCCGCGTCCCTCGAGCCCCTCCACGTCGTCGTTGCGCACCAGGAACACGACGAGAGGGTAGCAGAGGCGCGGCGGCGTGCCGAGGTCCAGCGTGGTCGCGGGGCTCACTGGCCGCGGCAGGCTCAGCGAGACGCACTGCTCGTCGTGGCCAGCCGAGGAGCTGTGAAAGCCAGACAGAGTGTACACGTAGAATTAGGGGAGAAAACCATGAAATAATAATAATGACAATAATCACAATAATAAGTAGGCAAAAAAACATTAACACAAAGCGTCAAATTTGGCATAATAAACATGGGTGATTTTTTTTTTTTTTTGCATTTGAAACTATTGTACTGACTGTAGGACGGTGCCGGCCTGCTGGTAGTGGCCGTGCAGCAGCTGGCCGCGGCGCGCCGCCTCGCGCACCGCGCTCCACGGCCGCCACAGGAACAGGTGCAGCTCCCTGATGGACACGCCCCACAGGGCGAGCAGGGTGTACGGCACCTGGCTCGACACGGAGCACTGCACGTCTGCAAGCACAAAACGCAAACAGGGAGGCTCAGATTTTGGTCAATGAGTGAGTCACACTCAAACAGCAGATACACGTTATCACGCACACAAAACAATCGTCGTCCGTATACTTGAGTTATTATGTAAAGGCATTTAAAAAAAATAAA